TTTTTTAGGATCCCTTTGGATTTCTCTTCGTGACAAAGGGGGCAAGCTGCGACCACAAAGAGTCCGAGAGAAGAACGTGCCAAACCTGCCCACTGCCTGCCCCCCAGGGAGATCCTCTGTTTCTTTTTAAGGGCATTTCGGCCTTGTGAGTTTATTCAAAAGGACTAGTTGCAAAGTTATGATACGACGTACAGTATTCAAGTTAATGTGCGCTATGCTTTGTTAGTCATAACTGTAAGATTAATATTGGTTACAGATGATTTACTGAAGATAGCTGCACCACCTTTCACTGTCTCTGTCCATTTTCCATTTATACAGAATTATGCCCAATTGTCAGTGACTTCTGCCTGCATCATGGATAAGTTTATCATACGGAAACCCAGATCTGAAAGTCAAGTCAAGAAAAAGGTTTCTGGAGAAAAAAATTATAAACAAGCCACTATAGAGTCTCTAAAGGTAAGATTTTTATATGATAAATTAGAATACTTTCTTCAAAAGACCCAGACAATATTTTACAGTTTTCCTTTTATCTCAGGTATCTTGCTTATAACTGAAATAGATTTCTGGAGGTATAAATAGCAAAGTAGGAACTATTTTCAGAGGCATGTAAGGAAGAATCTACTGTATTATCGTAACTAGGGCTCAGGAATTAAAATGACAAAAGAAGGGCATTTTTAATGTTGTAACAAAATTCTTAAAAGTGTCACACAGTCAACGATTAAGTCAGAATTCTGTCTGATACAGGATACAGTTTCCAAATCATAAAACGTCGGAGAGGTTGCTCTTGAATATGTACTTCCAGATACTACACTTCCTTTTAGGAAAAGCCATGCATCATAAAAGAAGGGCATTTTTAATGTTGTAACAAAATTCTTAAAAGTGTCACACAGTCAACGATTAAGTCAGAATTCTGTCTGATACAGGATACAGTTTCCAAATCATAAAACGTCGGAGAGGTTGCTCTTGAATATGTACTTCCAGATACTACACTTCCTTTTAGGAAAAGCCATGCATCATTGATAGAAAAACATTAAATATCCAGTGGAGAACAAATGTTTATAATTGATGTTTGAAGAACCATTACACTGGTGCTTGAATATGGAACATTCCAAATGGTTTTGGCAAAAAAAGAAAGAAAAAAACAAAGCTGTTATTAGTGAAGCTTGAAAGCTAAGGTTGAATACTTTGGAAAGAAAATAAACACACCGTTAATGCAACTTCTCATGCTATGGGAACCTCTACTGCCAATACCTGTCTTTGTTTCCTGGCTGCCTTCACTAAAACAGTCTTTAATCCCTGTAATTGTCAGACTGACCCAGCCAAATTCAGTGTACTAAATAGTATGGTAATATCTAATTAGACATGGGGTGAAGATCATGGCACCATACCAAGCGGAGACCAACAGCAGATTGAGTTTTTACTAAACAAATTGAAAAGCAATAATACAGATATAAGAGTAGGTGATATCTTTATAGACCACACACAAAAAATCATCATACAGTCTACTAGGTTTCATGGATCAGGACCACTTTGTCAGGCAGCTACTGCCTTGGAAGAACTTAAAAATCCAAAAGTGATTGGCAAGATGGGTTTTGCTAGGCAACAATGTAACAATTACTGTGATGACACATCTTTTAAAATAAGCAGATTTTGTAAACAATTTTAGCAGTAACTTAAAATTGTTTATAAAAGGAGGTTGGTTTTTTAAAAAATATACTCACAGTAAAATAAACAAGCAGACATTTGAATCAGTTTAAACAGTAAGATCAGTGAGAATTTGAAAACAGCATGAGGAAATGTGTCCATTAAAGCTTAATCTAGACTACTTTATTGTTAGATCTGGATTTAAACATTTCTTCTTTTGTAGACCTTTGGTCAGGTTGGTTAAATAAATTCAGCATTGGTAATGCTATTTTCCCCCTGTTGCTTTCAGTCCAGCCTCTTTTGAAGTCTTAATGTATCTTGTGCATCTTGGCCACTCCATATTTCTAGCTGTTTTACTTTTAAATCCTCTAACAGTTGCCTTTCCAGTTTGCCAGGTTCACTTACGGGCGTTGTTTCATTTTGCTCTTTTTGCCAATCAAGAAGGCAATGGATTTTGTAAAGTTTCTAGTTCCCATAATGTTGGATCCAGCTTTCCATCTTTCCTATCTATTTATTTTTCTCCTCAATTCCTAGAGTCCCTGAAATGTTCCCTTGAAAGTCAAGAGAGCCTGTTACAGTGGACCCTCGACTTACGGAATTAATCCGTATTGGAACAGTGGCTGCAGGTCGAAAAGTCTGTAGGTCGAGGCTCCATTGACCTACAATGCATTGAAAACCGATTAATCTGTAACTGGCCATTTTTGTTCCATTTTGGTTTTCTTTCCGGTCTGTAGGTCGATTCTCTGGCTGCAAGTTGAACCTAAATTTTGCAGCCAGAGAAGTCTGTAACTCGAAAAGTCTGTAAGTCGAGCCGTCTGTAAGTCGCAGGTCCACTGTAACTGGGATGGGCTATGGCATGGAGGGCTCAATGGGGAAAGTGAGTTTTTTAAAGAGTAGCACAATTTAATTCCTTCACAGGTTTTGGGGTGGGACTGATGAGGGTGCTAGGATGAAAAAGAACAGGTTGTTAGACTAAAAATTAGTAGACGAGTCAGTTGGATGACAACACAAATGGGGAAGTAATATAGCTTCTTTTAAAATAATAGTAATTTGCCATGGAGTCCATTCTGACTTATGGCAATCTTTTCCAGGGTTTTCCAGGTAGAGAATTCTCAGAAGTGGCTTACTATCCCCTTCTGGAGCCACCCTGGCACTGTGCAGCTTGCCCAAGGCACACAGGCTGGCTCATCTCACAGGAGGGAATCAAACGCCCAACCTCTGGCTCTGTAGCGAGATACCGAAACCACTGAGATATCCAGCCAGCTTGATAACAGTAAGATCAGTATTGATGGAGTTGCCTTATTAGGGCCGTATATGTGGAGAAGCCTACCAAGCTAGCATATAAAAGCATTTAAAATATAATATGATAAAATGTTGCTTATGCTGGCCTGACTCAGAACTTCCATACCGATTGATTTACTTGGCATCCTGAGAAATAAAGAATGCAAATTTTGTAATGGAATTTTGGCTCTGATTTTGAGGGGAGGGGACTGATAACCTCTAATAAAAGTAGTGAGGAGAAGTAATGAAAAATGAACTGGGGGGGGGGGTCACCTGGCAAGACTATGAAGTATTCTGAAGTCTTTATGAGAAATACCTGCTCAAAGCACTCACTTCAGAATAGTTAAGTGAATTGAAGATGGCAGGCTAATGAGTTTATTTTGTTTTCTAGATTTTGCTTGCTTGCCTTACATCAGAGGCTTGTTGTGAAACAAGTATTCATCTGTTTGGATTATGAAGTTTTCTGTAGCTGATTGCCTGTCATCATCAATAATTTATAGGTCAATAACAACTGCATTAGCTAACACAAAAGCACAATAAATTTATTTGCAATATGTATGTATGTCTCTCTCTGTCTCCTAATGATGCTTCTCCTTCTTAGAGGGTCGTGGTTGTTGAAGATATAAAAAGATGGAAATCTATGCTAGAGCTTTCAGTTCAGTCTAAGGAGAATCTAATTGAGGCCTTAATGGAATTACAGAAGAAAGTTCCATCTAAGGAAGTTTTACTTGCAACAAAAATAGGTAACCCTCTTTTTAATTTTCCATTGGAGTCAATATCTAATAGTTGGTGGAGGTATATTGAAGCATATATATTCCTTTCTGAAAGTGTTTCGAGAACTCTTTTTTTAAAAATTTCCAGAGCGTTAGGTGGAGTCTTGCATCCTGGTCCGGAAATAGCTTTCAGAATAACAGAATGTTAGCACTTCTTAGGTCATGGCTTCCTCTTGTGAGATGCTGCTGTCTCTCACCACTTCTTCCCCCTATTGGTCACTTGCAAGAGGCATGAGAGCAAAATAAAGCATCCCCATGCTCTGCAGAGCTTCCATTGAGTGCTAAGAATGGATGTATCTCTCATTTTATGCCAAGGTCATACAGTGAATAAGATGCGCAAGCATCCAGACCAGGATGTAGCTGCTCTTGCCAAGGATGTTTATACCAAATGGCGAACTTTCATCAAAGAACATTCAGACAGGCCCTCAATAGAAGTGAGGAGTGATCCCAAAACAGAGGGACTTCGCCAAAATGCCCAGAAGCTAATTGCTGAAGCTTTAGAGGCAGAGGTAAGCTGTTATTGTTATTTTGTGAAAAAATATTTTAAATTCTGAATTTCACCTTTTACTAATTTAGGGTTGATGTAAAAGAGAACTCCAGATGTAGAATAGGCTGTTTGTTTAAAACTACTACCGTGGCCCTAGAGGAATTACAAACAGCAATGCTTGGATATTCCAAATAAGTACAGAGTGTACTTTTTTATAGCCTTATGTTTACCTGTGTACATTTAGCTTGTTTATAGGAAGAAAATACAGGCATTCTTGTTTCAATTACATGTTTGTTGTCAGCTGGTTTTGTGATTTCCTTATCTTGACATTCCAAAGACCTTCAGTTTCCCTTTCCCCAAATAATACTTCCCAAATGTCACAGTCATCCATGTTTCAGCTTTTCTTGCAGCCAATAACTGCCTAACTAAATATTTCTTCCTCATACATATTAGGAATTCAAAAATAAAAATAGTTGATAATTATTATCAATCTGCTTTTTTTTTAGTTTGCATTATGTGCATATGCTAGCAAAGTCAAATCCTTTAAATATGGTAGTAAATGCTGTAGGCTTGATTATTTTTATGGTATTATTTATCTCATTTTGTGGAGGAAGAGAGGGTTTTTAAGTTGCAGTTCCGCTCCATGGATTGCATGTACTCTTGTGCATTTTGTCTCATAGGCAGAGAGGAAAAGAGAAACTAGAGAGGAGGGAAATAGTAGAGATATTAGAAAAAAGATTAGAGGACTCCAAGTGTCTGTGTTAGATAGATAAAGGGACTCAATGTCTGTGTTTGTGGGATTGGAGGGGGGGAAGAATACTAACATACAGTTAACCCATTTTGGAGTTTCTGTGTGGGATTGTAACCAGATTTGAAATTTCTTCTCTTTTTTGTGTTGTTCCAATGCAAACCAAAGAAATGAACATTTGAGTACCAAAACATTTGCAACTGCAACAATTTTCTGAGAGAAGGGCTGCATTTTCTGACAGAATTGCAAGGGTGCCAATACTTTTGGCCATGATGTGGGGGTTCGACTTTTGGCTCCATGTTTGGTTCAAAGAAATCAGTAGATTTTGTTGCTTCAAAACAGGTGAAAGATTTATTGGTGCATTTAACAATAAACAGGTTCTGAAACGTGATTGTGAGTCTTTTCTCCTTCTGCCGACGGGTCCAGAAGGGGTTTCCAATCTTCAAACAGGAATGGGTTCCCATAACTGTTGTTCCATGGTCCCGGTAGATCAGTGGGGACTCAGTCTCTTACGGTCTACCCCGTTGGGCCTTCCAACAAGGGCATAATTTCATTGTTCAGGTCATCATCCAACAGGATCCGTCTCTTGGGGTCTCGGCTCTCCCAGGATCCTCCCTGTAACTCCTCTTCCTCTCCATTACTCTCCATTCTAATCTTACTTTCCTTTCTCTCTCAACTCTTTCTCCTCTCTCAGTCTCTTCTCCACTCTTTCACCTCGGCTTCTCCCCAATAAGAGGGTCTGGGTGGGATCTCTGTTCTCCTTCTATAATCTGCCTCCTCCTTAGGCACTCTTAACCTCTCCCATAATCCCGTCCCAATCGGGTGGCAACTGTCCTTCCTTTCTCTCTACCTCCCCCATTCCTGCTTCAAACTCTACCTTCTTTTTCCTCCTTTTTCTCGCCTTTTCTCCCTGAACCTTCCCCGTCATCTCTTCCATCAGTTCCTCTGTTTCTGTCTCTTGCTGAGGTCTCACTGTAGGCTCTGCTCTTCTGTCAGTTCCTCTGTTTCTATCTCTTGCTGAGGTCTCACTGTAGGCTCTGGTGCGGGCTTGGGGTTTGCTTCCTTAGTTTTGCTGCTGAGGAGGGATGGGTCTCCGGCGAGTGGGGTATCTCTCTCGCCTTCTGTCTCACACATGCCTGTAGGAGTATAATCACATGTCTGATCAAACTGGAAAGGGTCTCATTGCAAGGAGCAATCTCCCTTAAAGTGGCCCTTCTGTCAGGGAATCACTTCAGCCGTGCCCTAAGAAGTAGTAGCTCTACACCTGGACCAAAAAGGTCCAGCCTTGGCGTTGATCAGGATTGGGGTGGAGTCCCAACTCCCTGTACATTGTTCAATTGCCGGGAAATAGATTGCACTGGACTGTTCCACAAACGGTCCAAAATTGCACCATGTATATGAACACTTGGAAAAACTTACTCTAAAGCTGCACCTTTGGCCCTGTAAGAGACGAACATTTCTGGATCTGGATGGCTGGTGAAATATTCCATGGCTGAAAAGTATAGCTTGCTTAGAATTTTCAGTATAATCCTGTTCCTTAAACTCCATACAAATACATTTTTGTTTGTAGTGAGGCAGTGATACAAATGCTTCTGTTGGAGCAACTGCAGTCACAACAGTGTATTTATTGAAAATATGTGTATTTATTGAAAAATATATTATAGTGAGTTCATAGAAATCCATAGAACACAAGGATCATTAAAAACAATACAAAATATAATAAAATGAGCGCATTCACATATATTATAGTGAGTTCATAGAATTCCATAGGTAGCATACAAAGATCATTAAAAAACAATACAAAATATAATAAAATGAGCCAAAGTAACAAAAGTATGAGAGAACAAAAAAAAATAAACACAACCAGTAACATCATTCATTAGAATTCAGGGAAAAGTATGATAGAACAACAACAACAAAAAGCAGAACCAGTAACATCATTCATTAGAATTCAGGCATTGGCAAATATGTCTTTGCTGACACTGAGAAATCTATCAGATTTGGCTCCCACAGAGCTGTCTGAAAGGGTCTCAGTAAGCTGGCCAGCAACTGTGTTTTGAACCCACTAAAGTTTCAGAGATACATTTATCTGCAACAATTTGCAGTAGATTAATTTGAATGTGATTTCAACATGGATAATAATAATTAGCCCATGCTTTCAAATTTGAAAACAATGGCTTGGATTTGCAAAGATTACATGGGTAGCAAATCATTTGGGACCACCCAGTTTGCATGGTTAGCATGTATATCTGATGTGTGTATTTATCATTCTTAGACCTCCTTGGAAGAAAGGAAAGCATCAAAATGTATAGTTAGTATTTTATGTACTAAATCTTCACTAAAGCCCTTTGGATGTTCTGTATTTCAGGCAAACTTTATATCCACAATTAAGTCTTTGTAAATCAAAGTTTATTGTGAGAACCTGCAGAGAGGGTCAATAGTGTACAAAGTGGTGGTAAATACCAGATCCCTGTGGTATCCTTAAGTAATGAACACAACAAGAATTCTCTCTAAGCTTTAACGATTAGTTTGTGTTCTATATTAAACTCCTTAATAATTATCCTTTTAATTTATTCATTAATTATTTCTAAACTGCATGTAGAGCATTTAAGAATAAAGCAAAACTAGAAGTGTTTACAGTCCTTGTGAAATCTGATTAGAAAATTATGAACAATTACTTTTAAGGCTTATTGCAGTTTCTGAAGCTCTGCTGCCCATCTCCAGTTACTAGATAGGCCACTGAGTTTGTTCTGTCATCTCTGGCATGCTGCCTCTCACACAGATTTTTAGAGCCTATATATGTACTCCAATGTATATTTGCAAGGTGTGTTCCTCTTTCAGCAAAAAGACTGGGCATCCAAATTGAAGGGAACTTTACTGTCACCTGTAGCTGAACGTCTGCACTGGGGTAGACAACATACCATTTGTGGGGCACATGTGGCCCTTAACAGCATTCCATAGCCTCACTGTATATTACTGGTCCTGCTGTCAGTGTTTGAAATCATGCTGCTGAAAATTTGCAGTCATTGCCACAAAAGTAACATTGCAAATCCATTCCCAATTTCAACATTTCCTGTCCTAGATGCCTTCTTGTCCACCTTGCTTTCTTCCTGTCTTTCTCTAAATGCACCATACAAAGCTACCACAATTGCTTCCAAAATGTGATAGTGAAAACTGTGTCAGCCACTGAATTTTGGCTGCATCAGTAGTGGTGACAAATGTGGCACGACTACAGAGGCCATGATTTCTGGAGAGACCAAAGTTTCTCCCCAAGACTGGTAAGTTTTGCATCTCAGATCTACTTACTACTTTTATCCTATTTTTTCTATTCATTATTCCTGCTGTCACCTTGCTTTACTCTTGCCAAATATATCCATTTATTAAAAGCTGCCTATAGTATGTGAACAAACATAATTTTTTCATCTGCAAATGCACTTATATTCACAGCAAGACAATGAAAACAATAGCAACCCAGCAACCCCATTGTGACAGTGTAGGCAGGCAGGAGAAATAATGGTGTTTCCTAACAGCAGCACCCCACTGTCTTCGTACTACCTGCTGCTGGTGGTGACTGCATACACCTGCCGAATTGTAAAATGGAGCACCTTTTAGAACTTTATTTGCTAACCAGTTACAGTTATTGCTGTTTAATCCTGACACTATGGCTTTACAATGTTATTTTATTGTTTTTATTTGTGTGTAACCCCTCGTGAGAGTTTTTATTTGGTCTAGGTAGAAGTTCACTAAAATAAAGATAACCAGCCTCTTGTTGCCCTATATGAATGGAAAAAAGGTGTGTATGCACAGAGGATAGCGAGCACTTCTATCTCCCGTGGATCATGAAGTAGGGATTGTGCATAGCTTGTCCATCTCCATATTTTGGAAATACATGGGTGTCTGAGGGAAATCTTGAAAATGGTTAAAATCCCCTGCTAACCTTTTAAAAAAGAATAAAGCTTTATGAATATAGAAGCATGTGTACCAAAGTCACTAGAATAAGGAATACTGACCACAATCCTATTGGATTTTATTCTGGAATAGAACAGCAAATTGCAGCTAACTAACAAGATGCTCGTCACATTCTTGGTCATGTGCCAGTCATGACCACAGGGACATAAGTTCCACTTTTAAAATTATTTACAATTTTATTGTAAATAAAATCCACAAACTACTCTGTGGAGTGAAGTCCCTGTAGGATTATGGCTACTGCTTCTGTTTTAGGATGCTGCTTTTGTAAAAGACTCAATGAGTTAATTATTTTTTGAGATAGGATGCACAATGAAGTGTGGATTGTGCAAACCATTTATGATATTTCCAGAAATAAAGCCAATAAAAGTCAGTGTATACACTTAACAGCATACTTTATTGTTGCTTTGTTGGGAATGATAGCACTAGTTAAATCCCTGCCTCCCTTTATGTTGCTGTTGGACTTAAGAAAGTGTATCTATCTTGGTTATGTTTATACCTGCATCAGTTTCAGGTGGTGAGTCCATTTAGTAATAGTTCAGAGTATAAAAGTTTTCCACTGTTCAACTTGTTCAACTTACATCAGCTCCATCATGTTTTAGAATACGTTATTGTGGTCTCTGACCAAGCACAGGACCTTCCTCTTAGAAATGGAATCCACAAGTTGGTTCCATATTATTTGACCCTTTCCCACAACAGACAGCATTGCTAATGCCTAGAAGCACTTTAATTATTTTCCTGAATGCCCATTTATACATGAAGTGAGTCACATGCAAATTAACTGAGGAGAGAGTCAAGCAAATAAATAAACCCCAACTTGGAATGCTGTACTGTTAGTTACTGTACCTAAAAATGATGCTGTAGAATGGACACGGGTGCTTCATATTCATATTCAAGGGATAGGAATACGAAGTATGGCACCACAAATGCCAAGTTAGTCCATTCCCTACCCCCAGAACCCACCTAGTCCACTCACCAAGCTCTGCACAGCGCATGTTCGTCAGCATTGTTGCACCAATTGCAGAAGTAGTCTGGCAGGCACTTCCCCGCTTCTCCAATGAGGAGGAAGGAAGATGAGTCTCCCTGCTTAGCTGCTGAGTGGCCAGCTGTGGGGAGAGGCAGGGAAGCGCTGGCTGGGCTACTTCCCCGGAGTGGCCAGCTGTGGGAGAGGCAGGGAAGCGCTGGCTGGCTACTCCCATGATTAGCGCAGCGACAGTGCTGACAGATGCATGAGCTGAATAGAGCCCAGTGAGTGGACTGGGCTGACACTGCTGACAGATGCATGCGCTGAATAGAGCCCAGTGAGTGGACTGGGCTGGTTCTGGCAGAAGGGAATGGACCACCATGGCACATGTGGTGCTGCACTTTGGACTTGTATCCCCTGGATATGAATGTGAAGCACCTATGTCTGCTGTAGAGCTGAAAAAGGTACAAAACTGGGCAGCCAGAATGTTCAAGGAGGGGGTATTCATATATGAATAGAAGTATCCTCCTACAGGTGAAGATAATGAGGGTCCGGCCCCCTGGGGCCAGACCAACCACTCATGATTTCACCAGTGCTGCCGGATCCACGGAGCCTTCCTATCGCTCCGTTGCTCGCAATGGCGAGGGTCCGGACCCCTGGGGCCAGACCAACCACCAGTGCTGCCGGCTCCACGGAGCCTTCCTGTCGCTCCGTTGCTCGCAATGGATTAGCCACTCTGCGACCTGGCAGAGAGGCTTGTCATCCTGCCTTTTGCCAGGACTGGCTAATCTATCGCAAGCAACGGAGCGATAGGAAGGCTCCACTGAGCTTGTGCCAGCGGCAGAATCATGAGTGGACCATCCAGCCCCAGGGGGGCGGACCCTCGTTATCTCCACCTGTGGGGGGGTACTCGTATACGAATACCCCCATCTCTAGTAGCAAGCTTTGGACAATGTGTGCACAATTCTGTAAAGGTAGTATAATTGGTAATCCTAAGGAGGATGGTTAGAATAATTGTTTTTAGTGGAATAGTAAGGCATAAGGTACAAGCAAGTGTAGGAAATGGCTGTAACTATAGTGGAAGTGAAATAAGCATGAGGATGGTAAACAGTTGAGCATTTTGAATTCTCATCAGGTATACAATTTCTCAGCGCTAATGGCCAAAAAAGAAATAAACCCTTTTCTTGGTAGGCAGTAGTTGCTTTTCATTTATTTCTATATAATTTATTTAGATGTCTCAGCTGTGCCAAATTACATAGCTTGGCACATGTCGAAGCTATAACTTCATAATTAACATTTAGCAAATCCCTTTCTGTTTTCTTAATTACACCTCCTTACACTTGCTCATAAAGTCTACATTTCCCTTTACAGCCCTGCCAGTCAATCTTGCCAAGTATTTAGAGCATCTAGGACTGGTTTTGGAGTTGAGTTTGAAATGCTATCAAAAGTGCCTTGTATCAGTGAATGTTATTGGAGGCAGGACTACTTCGTTCATAATTGCACTTGAACCTGATACCCCAGGTTGGCTGCAGATTAGTTTCCTGTTGGGCTGGCAAAAGTGGCTGACCACAGTGCCTTGTTCTTTAATTGCTGGAGTGAAATTAAATTGCTCTTCCTGTTTTACTTGTGATGTGAAGTGGATTTCCTTGAATTTGAGCTGATTAAGAAACCAGCCTCCAATTTCAAACAGTTAGTCTCCTTATTAACCGTAAGGATCTCATTTCTTTCTTTCTGTTTTCAGATTGGTCACCCGCTGGCGGAAAATATTGAGCGAGAAGCTTTTCATCTCTCTTCCCGTCTCATTAACGCACCCTACCGCAGGACTGTGCGGGCCCTTGTATTCGCTTTAAAGCACAAGCCTGAAATTCGTACACAAGTACAAAGTGGTACACTGTCACTTAGAACATTTGTGCAAAGCCATAAAAAGTGACACAGAGATTTGGAGTGCATATGCTGTTTCCACCATTGTATTATACGACAAAAGATGAAACCTTTTCTGTTTCTTAACTTGTCATTGTAGTAACTGCATATTGGTTGGGTCATATTGGAAGAATGCAAATATTTTAGAAAGTTCATTCGAAGTCAAGTCTTCATTTATTGCAAATAGTGGTCCACACTTTGGTCAGCAAACAGGAATGGAGAAAGGAATTCTCCCTCACTTTGTAATAGCTTTGAAAGAGATTTGGGCTAAGCAAGCAGATTCTGCTGTTGTTTTATAGGGTATAGCAGAAGCCTACAGATGTTCACTAGCGTACTTACGTTTGAAGCAGGTTATCTGAAGCATTAAAAAACTGTGTGGACCAAATTAATTTGTAAACTGCAGGCTAATCTTGTCTGCCATTCCCTGGGTTGCAAAGTCACTTCTCTTGTATAATTTCCTTAGTATTATCTGCTTGGCCTTCCTATCAGCCTAGCCAAATAATTTCATTCTCCAGTGTCTATCAACAGAACTATTGAATTTACATTAAGTGTTTGGATTTTAAACAAACTAACTACTTTCTCTCCCTCAGACGGATAGAAGCAAGGATTATAATGAGATTTTGAAGTATAATTTTCTATAGGGAAATAACCCTTTAAAAACACTTTTCTTATATCATTAGCAAATAATGGCCAAAATCCTGTTGTACATCTATGCCTGTGCAACCCGTTGCACAAGAAGTTGTGAAATTCACACCGAGGTGGGAGCCATATCCAGCAAGCAGAAAATTACTTGCATACCACATAGTGGAGATCCCTGATGGAATTTTGCGTGCTGTCTTAGCAAAGCTCTTTCTTCTATGGTCTTCTGACGTGACAGGTACTGTGGGAAAATTTTGGCTCCTCCTGATTGGCTTTCAACAAACTCCAGTAGTTTGGTAGCCTAGGGCAGTGGTTCCCATCCTTGGATCCAATTAGACTAAAACATCTAGAAGACTTCACCACTAGCTGTGCTGGCCAGGATTTTTGGGAATTGTAATCTAAGAATATCTGGGGACCCAAGGTTTGGAACCAATAACCTAAGGAGAATGATGAGCTGTCTTAATTTCTCTGTTCCCAAACACATTAATCCATAGAGTACCTTGCTTACCTAAAGTCATTCTTGGCTCAGCAGAAAGAAGGCTCCTCAGCAATTCATCCAATCATCTGTCTGCTAAAGAATGACTGTTTCTAGTTTACAGTGAGCCTAGCAGCTCTGGAGTGGCATCAGATCTTTCATTCTGTTAGGTCTTAGCCTTGGACATAAGATACATAATTTGAGAAAATAAAGAGAAGGTGAAAACAGTATACTGAAGACCTACACAGAAGAGCTAAAAGTATGCCAGGCGCCTTTGAAAAAGAATCCTATGATGAAAAAACTGCATTTCTAGAAAATGAAGTGAAAGCTGCTCTGAAAGCACTATGAAGAAATAAATCAAAAGGGGTAGATGGAATAGCAATAGAACTATTTCAAGCCACAGAAAATGAATCTGTCAAAATCCTAACAAGAATATGCCAACAAATATGGAAAACAAAACAATGCTCGCAGACTGGCAACAATCAATATACATTCTAATCCTCAAGAAAGGAGATGCCAAGGAGTGCAATAACTATAGGATCATTGCTTAAATTTCCCATGCAAGCAAAGTGATGCTCAGCATGTTGCAACAAAGGTTTTTACCTTATATGGATTTTTACCTTTACCTGATGTTCATGCTGGATTACAAAAAGGAAGACGCTCTTGAGAAGAGATTTTGGACATTTCTCATTCATAGGGTTGCCATAAGCCAGAGGAGACTTGACAGCATGTGAAAATAATAACAATACAGAAATAGTTTGTGTCCTTTGGTACATTCTGCTGGATTCATTACCAAAACAGATTTCCAATGTTTTGAACAAGTCATTTGATGTAAATGGAAGCTATATGGTAAGTGAACTCTCTAGTCCTCTCTTACTTAACTGCAAAATAAAGGCATTTCCACCATGATACTGGAATCATATTTTTTGTGTGTTTTCCCCAATAATAATGTCAATATATTCATTGGCATGCCATTTGATTTCAAAATTCCCCTTCTATTTTTAATCCCAGAGAAAGCCTAATGTTCCCTAGTACCCTGTTTTCCCGAAAATAGGACCTAACCTGAAAATACGAGTCCTAATTTGATTTTTCAGGATGCTCATAATATAAGCCCTACCCCAAAAATAAGCCCTAGTTGAGTGAAACCCCTCCCTCCACCATTGTGGAGCATTGTGAAGCAACCAGAAGATGACATGACTGTATTTGACTAAATGTAGACTTGTATATGAAAAAATAAAACACCCCCTGAAAATAAGCCCTACTGCATTTTTGGAGCAAAAATTAATATAAGACCCTGTCTTATTTTGGGGGAAACACGGTATAAGTGCTTGTGCACCTTTTGAAAGTAAGCAGGGCAAGCTTCATAGATCATATATGGATGTTGTTCTGAGGTTTTGTCAGCATACAACAGTAAGCAGGGAACAACTAAAATAACATTTGGGTGCATAAACAGCATATTAAAGGAGAGTTTCTTTTAAATTATAAACACCGGGGTAGGAAGACAAAGAGGAACAATAAAAGAACAGTTAGTGAATGAGAAAGAGGCTCTGATGCGATTACGTTTGCTTCACCTGCGGCTGACAGGAACTGAGGGGAGACCATTGAAAGCCAAGATATACTTGGCGGGGGCAGATAAGCAGTACTAATGTCTCTCCTATCTCAAGCAGAAGCGCTAGAAGATTCTGATGAGGTTTTGCACATGTACGGAATCTCGTGTGATTTACGAAGACCACAGTGAAGAAGTTAACATTTCTACTTTGCACAAAGTATAAGGTGAACTGGTACGTTCAGAGAAAATTCTCGGTTCCCATGTCCATCCTTCTCTGGTTTAGGTGAGGCTCACTAAGGGTGTCATGATCAAAAACCCTGAGCTGGCTATGTTGCCAATTCTCTTTTTTTTCCTTTTTACCACTTCAGCTTTTAATCTTAGGTTGACACAGCAAAGAGTCCAAAGAAAGAAAGAAAAGGCCATGTGGAACTTGTATGTATAGTAATCCAGTCCAACGACAAGGCTAAGTAAAACCTCTCTTAGACCACTAAAAAGCACAAAGAAATGCTGGTTTTCAGCCTATACAGGCCTTCATGAAAGTGGGCTCTGCTTATTTGGATGGGGCAAAATGCAACAGCTCCAAAAATTGGCCTTCAAAATGAGGGTCTTTTCTTGGCTAGGGATTATGGTGACACAGGAGTGGGACAATCACAGCGAAATCAATAGTATTGTACCTAGTGGTTGGAGGACATTGTCTGCAATTTAGCATGGATATTTAACACCTCCCAAGCAGGACTGTGAGCTGAGGACAACCTTTCCCTCCAACCACTAGGCAGTACAATTAATTTGGCCATACCTAATGGATAAACTAAATTTTAACAAACTTCTCTGATATATTAGCTGTGTTTCTGTGCCAGCTTAATCCCCATCTAAGAAAGGATTGGTTTGTTTCAGTGTAGGGCAATAAAGCAGGGGGAAATGCTGAGTGGCTGACTGCCTTCTGTTGAGTTTGGAACAATTCAATCAACAGCCAAAGGTGGAATTTAAAGCCAACACTCTTGTCTTCACAGCTTTCATTTTGTAGTCTGGTATAGACATCTAGCCATGATTTTGGTGCAATTCATGAATAAGTGGTGGCCAGCCTGCTGAAGGCCTGTATGCGTCAAAAGCTTGCATTGGTCTGTAATTTTTAAGTCCTCTAACTAACCGATGCATCACCCGCCCTTGGCTTTTGATAGCTTAGAATGTTAAGTGCCTTTCCTCAATTAATTTCATGTGTCTGTTTGATGCTGTAAAACTCATCTGATTGCTCTGTCTAGAAGAGCCTTAGTGCTGTAAAATCATTTTTATATCTTCAGAAATAAATAACAATAAAAGCAATTTAGTAAACACAGCAGTGATGGGAAGACTCAGTTTTTTCCCAATGATCTAATATGTTTTAACCAGACAGATAAGGAAGACAGAAAAGCATGTGCGATGGATGGTTTAAAAGGTACAGAGCCAACAAAATTTCACCCTCACCCACATTCCAGAGCAACTAGTCATGCCTGCTTGTGACTGGAAGAGGCATCTGCCATTAGGAAGCCTATTCTCCCTTTTTGCTCTAGAGTTGCAATGTCTGTTCTGCATGGTGCTTTCTCCCAGATCCTGCCATGCTACAGGATACCACAAGGTGGTGGTCTACACAATCAAACATCTCACCTCTGAGACAACAAGAAGCAAAGCTAGGTGGGTAGAAATTTTTAGCAGAGTCAAGACCTGCAATATTTGAATATATCACACAGATGTGTGCAGCAGGATCTGGTGGTGATCTTTTTCAATTTTAAAGTAAAGTTCTCTAAAGCACTGGTTCTTATCCTTGGGTTCCTCAGGAGTTTTGGACTGCAACTCCCAGAAGCCTTCACCACCAGCTGTCCTGACTGGGGTTTCTGGGAGTTGCAGTTCAAAAACATCCGAGTAACAAAGATTAAGAACCACTGCTCTAAAGGATAGTCGAATGTAAGTCTCAGAACCAAGTTTGGATTCACTATACAAGTGGTGCCTCACATAGCGAGGTTAATCCGTTCCGGATTAACCTTCACTATGCTGAAGCATCGTTGAACGGGGCAGGGAATTCCATTGGAACGCATTAAACATGGTTTAATGCGTTCCAAATGGACTGAATACTCACCGTTCAGCGATGCTTCTTAATGGCCGGCAGCCATTTTCGCGCCCTCCCCTCGCTTAACGAGGGCGCGAAAATGCTGTGCGTGGCCATTTTGGGCCATTTCCGGGCTTCTGGCAGCCATTTTGTCCGCCTAACAGCTGATCGTCGGGCTTCGTTTTACGAAGATCGGTAAGCGAAACGCTTACCGGTCTTCGCAAAGCTAATTTTGCCCTATTAAAAAAAACGTTGAGTGATCGCATTAGTGATCCCAAAAAAGGGATCGCTATGCAATTTCGTCGTTGTATGGTGCGCTCGTTAAGCGAGGCACCACTGTATTCACATGATTTATTTTCCTGATTAGTATCAGGTTGTTGTGGCACCAACCACAAGGAATGATCTCCCGGTTGAGATCAGGCAGGTTCCCAGCGCAGAATGTTCCTCCTGCCAAGTGAAGACTTACTTGTTTTTCCAGGCATTTTTCTGATTGCTAGCCTAGTCATCCCTGGTGATTTTAGTGGCCTTAAAGAAATATTTCATTTTACTGCTGTCCCAGTGTGGTGCAGTGGCTAAAGTGATGGATTAGGGCTTGCAAAAAACAAGATTCAAATCCCCACGCAGCTATAGAAACTCACTGGGGGAGTCGAACTGGTAAAACCACTCTTTAAATATCTCACTTACATTGATAGCTCTGTTTGGGTTACTATAAGTGTTCCAACTTGACGACACAGAACACATTCTTGTATCATTTGATTTTACTGAAAACGTGTTTTTGAACACTGTGTAGTGTGAATCAATTTGGAATTTTTAAAAATACAAAATGGTATTGAAATATCTGTAGTAAATTAAATAAAAGTGTAGAAATATTTTCTCCATATCTTGTTGAAACCTTTCCAGCCCAAACCTTGACTTTTTGCTGTTCCATATAGACCTCAGGGCAAAGGCTAATAGAGTTTTGTCAAGAGAAGAGAA